ATCCTACCCAAACAATGTGCAGCCCGATCCCATCAATAATACATATAAAGCCCATAGGGCCTGCTGCAGCGTGCAGCCTGATCCATTTAATAATAATATATATAAAGCCAATATGAACTGCTGCGGCGTGTAACCCGATCCCATCATAAATCAAATAAACCTGCTATGGCGTGTAGCCCGATTCCATCAATATCACTCACAATCCGGCCCTCAGGTCCCAACTTAGTCATCAATCTCTCTAGTCTCTCGGCTTCCCGAATTTCATGCCAATCATCCCAAACATGATAACATGATGTGACAACAAATGATAATCGAGACCTAGATATGCAAATGAATGAGTATGACTGAGTATGTAACTGCAATTTATGCAAATAACTCAACAACATAAATGACCTCAGTGGGTCCCAACAGAATAAGCATATAACCTAAACATGATTTCTTACATGGATCATAGCTCAATTACTCTAGCACGTAGAAATTTCATGGATAAAGTACAACTACACAGTACCACAGAATTAACCAAGTCACAATTCTTACGGTGCACGCCCACACGCCCGTCACCTAGCATGTGCATCACCTCAACACCAAAAAATAACACGTATATTCAGGGTTTCATATCCTCAGCACCAAGTTTAGAAGTGTTACTCACCTCGAACAAGTCAAATCCAATATCAGTCGAAATGTTCCATATCAGTTGGTTTTTGGAAAAGCTTGTCATCTTCCGGTGGAACTTGAGCACAAAGCCATCTGGGCTTTAAAGAAGTTGAATCTTGAGTGGGATGTTGCCTCTAACTTGAGCGTGGCACATTTGAATGAGTTGGATGAGTTCCGATACCATACATACACAAGTTCGTCTGTATACAAAGAGAAGATAAATATCTTCATGACAAGTATATTTGGAACAAAGAGTTCAAAGAGGGTGATCTTGTGTTGTTGTTCAATTCACGGTTGAGGATGTCTCCCGGGAAGTTAAAGTCTAAATGGAGTGGCCTGTTTGAAGTTGTGGGTGTGACACCCTTTGGTGCATTGGACTTGAAGAATAAAAATGATGAGGTATTTCGAGTCAATGGTCACTAGGTGAAGTATTATTTGGGAAAAGTTGGTGATGGCCACGTTGTGGCGGTGATTCATTTCAAGTGATGGTAATCAGCGTCGTGCTGCGACGTTAAATCAGGCACTTCTTGGGAGGCAACCCATGTTTCTTTTTCTTTTCTTTACTTCTTTTATAATTAGGTGTTATTTTTGTGCTAACTGGATTTAAAGTATGTTGCAGGAATGAGTGTACTTTATAGGAATTGTACCAAGAAAATTGGCTAAGTATGAAAAAAGTGCGAACTGCATATTTATTATGCGGACCGCATAATTGTGATTGCTACAGCAAAAGGGAACTGCGGCCACACAATTGTAGTGCGGACCGCACAAATAGAAAAGGGAAAATGCAAACTCTTTGAAGTTTGGTTTGTCAGAGAAATTGGCAAAGTGTGGCCACACACCAAATCTGCGGTCCGCAACAAAAATTTGCGATCGCACCATAAATTATGCGGACCACAGATCAGCAAGGGCTTCTGAGCACCAGGTAATAGAGTGCGGACCGCAGAAAGAATTTTGCGGCCGCACTTAGCCCTTTGTTCCTTAGTCAAACCGCAGAAAGAAATTTGTGAATTGAGTGCTAAATTCTTAAGTGAGCTTGGCAAATGAAAAGTAGAGGAGGAGGGGTTTGGGATCCACCATAAACTACAAGATAGAGCGAAAGTCCTTGATGAGCTAAGTCAACCCTTGATGCTCGAATGTCACATTAGAGCATAAATTTTTAACTTGTTGCCTTGTCAATAATGCATGAGTGGTGTTGGTAATTGTTGGTACCAACTGAGGTGTGAATGGTTCACCCGTAGCTAGCTATAACTAAGCCTGTCAAACGGGCCGGGTTGACCCGTTTCCGGACCGACCCAGACCAGTTGAAACCCGGACCGGTAGTTAGGGGGGCGGGTAGGCTGGGTTAGGGGGTTGGTCCGTTCACCAAAAAAGATCTGGTTAACCGGACCGGTCAAACCTGGTCAACAAAAATTACTGTTGAACCTGTTAACCGGCCCGGCCCGGACCGGTTTAACGGCTAGAAATTTGATTTTTTTTTCAATGTCATATGACCGTTGCCCAACGGGTTGATTGCAAGAATAGTCCTTTTCTGGGCAATATTTTTAAAAAAATAATACTTCTAGTAATTACTAATTTAGCCCTTTGAAAAACTATAAATACCCCCCCCCCCCCTCATCTCTTATTCATTTCTTCACTCAACTCTCATTTCTCAAACTCAAATTCTCAATTCAAGTNGTAAAACTAAATAAACCCCCCTACCCCCCCCCCCCCTCATCTCTTATTCATTTCTTCACTCAACTCTCATTTCTCAAACTCAAATTCTCAATTCAAGTTAAATCATACCCCGTACTTCTAGAGTGTGCTCATATGTTTGGTAATTTAGTTGTTGTTAAATGTAAACTTTAATTTGTAAGTTTGAAATAAAAAAAATTTTGCAAATTATAAGTACAATTTTTTTCCATCTTCATTGTATTCTATTATCTTAAATTCTTAATGAAATATTCAAAATTTCAAATATAAAGATTTTAAAGCCTTTGCATCCTTTTATTCAAGCACTCTTTTTATAAGATTATTTTTTTGTTTTATATTTATACTTTATATTAATATAAATTACGATAGTTATACAAGATACAAAAAAAAAATACTAACCCAGCACGGTCCCTAAGACCCGTAACCTTTTCGGTTCATTTTTTACCCGGATGGACCCGGACCCGTTAAGCTTGGTTTTGAATAACCCGTAATCGGTCCGGATTGGAAACCGGCCAGTCACCTTTTTTTCCAACCCGGACCGGCCCGGCCCACCCCTTAAACACCCGTAGCTATAACGTCCTTTAACTTTTGGAGGTGGGAACTATTTTATTTGCTTGAGGACAAGTAAAGACTTAAGTTTGGGGGAGTTGATAAGTGGAGATTTTGACTACTTATTAGCGCCTTTTAGCTTTTGTTTTAGTCCAAAATCGTTTAATTGTGTTCTCGAAACTGATAAAATGTGCTTAATTGCAGGAATATTGGAAGATGGACTCTCGAGATGAAATCCAACTCAAAAAGGAGTAATCTGAACTCAAGACCATAAAAGGCACAGAAGCCTAAAAGTGCGGACCACAGAATATCATCTGCAGCCGCAGATGATGAAGGAAAAGCCAGCAGAGTTTGGTGCAAAGTGCGGTCCGCAAATGAATTGTGCGGCCGCAAAAGATGGCTAGGACCAAAAGTTCAGAGAATGTGCATTCCATGTCCATCAAAAGTCTTGTGCGGTCACGAAAGAAGTGCTATGCGGCTGCAGATGTAAAAGTGCGGACCACAGAAGATCAAGATGCGGCCGCAGTTACAAATCTGCGGACCGCAGAAAGAGTGCCTTGCGGACCGCAGAAAGAGTGCCTTGCCGCCGTAGATCAGAATTATGCAGCCGCAGACTTCCAGTCCTGACAAGTTGAAGAATTCTACGGACTGCACATGGAATTGTGCAGCCGCAAAACCTTTCGAAGGGCATTTTTGTCCGAAAATTTTAGCCCTGTATAAATAAATAAGTTTCACAATTTTAGGTTAATTTTTGACATCAGCAACTAAAGTAGCCGTTTCTCTTTGCTTCTTTTAGTAATTTTTCGTATTTTGGGATATTTTAACATAGATTTTATCATTTTGATTTTACAATATGAGTATAATTAGCATTTCTTCTTCTATTTCTTCAATTTCAAGCATGAGTAGCTAGCTTTATACTATGGTTATGACCCAATCCTAGTGTGTAAATCTTATGGGTGGCTAATTTAATACTTGTTTATGGTTAGGTGTTTATTATTTAGCCTTGTTCATGCTTTGATTTATAAAATTAATGGTTGCAAATATTAGTTCATGCCTATTTGACTTAATCTTTACTTGAGAAAGAGAGACTTAGTCTAGGAAAACTTGGCTAACAAGAAATTGGGTCAATCGAGATTGGTAATCCCAATTAAAGGGTTCAACCTAGAGATAGTAATAACCCGACTTGAGCTTTTATCAACCGTTTTGCGCAATACCCATTTGGACTTGAGAAAGTGGGAAAAATTACTCTCTGACCGAGAGGTATTGAGTGGGTAATAACTATAATACACCCCGATCAACGAAACAAGCATTAATGTTTATATCCCATTAGGCAAATACATAGGTGATGGTCATAACCCTAGGTTTTTTACAAAACTTGAAAAACAATATCTTAGTTTCATTTCTTAATTTGCAATCTTAGTTTAAAATAGACATAGAAACAACCCCAAATTTATGGAAGTGTAAATTGAGATAGTTCATACTCACGCACTACAATATATACTCCTAACTCTCACATATAGCTCCTTGTAGAAATCGACCCCGACTCTTTTTTTGGGTATTACTATTGCAATCAACCATTTCATAACCTTGATTTGAGGTGTGAATTGGACGAGAACAATGGTTTGAGATTTTAAGTTATTATTTCAGTTATTCTGCATGGTTGTTAGGCTTACATAGTCATAGAGACTAGGTGCCGTCACAACGTCTTACGGAGGGAAATTTGGGTCGTGACATCCGGACAAGTAGAGGATGCATCTTATGTATTTTCCCATTCTTAGTTTCAAAACTTGTTAGCAAAATGATACTTAAGAAAAATATTATGCGTTTTATTAAAATTTATGTGTTGACAAGAGTATCAAATGTTTGAGCCTTGAAGATGTATTTTCATGAAAAAACACGTCTTTTGAAATTTAAATAATAAAGTAGCACTTGTTGTATCTTTAAATAATTGATGTTAAATTGCTAAAGGCATTAATATGAAAAAAGTTATTCATTTGAATTTGTTCAAATGGTTTTAAATCATGATTTGGATGAAAAATAAATCCTTTAAAGCTATTAAGCAATGAATCTATTTTTGATATGTCAAATATTTTAAAAGTTACTATGGGGACCATCGAGACGAGCACCCTCTTACACTTGACTAAGACGGAGAACTAAAACCCCTAGTTCTCTTGTCTCACGGAATACAAGAACCCTAAGAAACCCCTTGATTTGATTTGGGTCCTCTGGGATTGTGATTAAGACATGGATAATTCGCGTCCGAACCTGCTGGAGGAAGCGCTAGTGGAGGATGTCATTGGCAGTGTAAAGACCCAAAAGCGGGGGCGAGTGGTGGTGGTGGAGGACTGTGTTGAGACCAGCGCCGCTTTCGTGCTCCACCATTTCCTTAAGCGCTCTCTCCAACCTGACTCCTCTGATGTCGTCGTTTTCATCGCCTTTGCCCACCCTTTCTCTCACTACGAACGCATTCTCCGCAAAATGGTCAGCTTCCTCTCTGTCTCTCTCCAGTCTCCATGGCATGGTTGTGTTTATTTATTTCTATGACAATATACTTACTGGATATTAATTTGTATTTTTACCTCAATTTATCACTTAATTATTGTAAATTAACATACTTTGCTGCATTCAGAGAGTTGTGTAACTATTTTCCATATTGTAGGTCTCTGTCTAATTTGTAGAGAGTCTAGTTTACTCTTTTTTGTTTTTCCTCTTCTATACGTTTATAAAAAAAGAGTAGAATTAAAATGAGATGTGTGTATTACTCTGTTATGTTTCGGAGGCAGCTTTTCAAAATCATTTTAGGAAGAGGAGCTATGGAATTAGAATTTGGTACTTGATGTGTTTGGAACCTCAGTGATGGATTTTAACAACAGCAAGTGTGATGTTTTTATGGGGGGTGGTGAAAAACAATGGGTATAATAGCCCTAGATAAATTCCTGCGGATGGTCTTATATACTCTATGCTGGATTTTATGTATCTCCAACATCCTTTCATACCTCTAACCGAATTTTTGAATTCACGTGGACTTGAAATGCGGCTTTTTCAGTGTGAGAAGGGGTTTCCATAGATGAGGTTGGAGATTAAAGAGATATGTGCACAGACTTGTCATCATTATCAAATTGTTGTTGACATTTAAAATATAGTACCAGTAGATGCACCAAGTGAAGTGGATCACACAGATAGGGCGGCAACACACGAAGGGAAGTTAACAGGCATAGTTCTAAGGACCAAAAAAATGGAAACACTGAGAGTCTAAATAATATTAATTGTAAAGTTTGTTGATCTCAAATTCCAATGCAGAGAACGTGCACATTGCTAGTTGTTATTCTATTCTAGATGCTTTTGCTGGTGGTTTGAGAATTGGCTAGAAAGAACTGAACTTTGATGTGGCAAATATGATGCAAGAAGAAAGCTTATAGGTAGGGTCTGGGTTTATGTTGTTTCTTACCTTTCAGGCATAAATGTTAAGCTGCTGCATTTCCGGGAACTTGTTTGAGCTTTGTCTTGTAAGAACGCCATAATCGCCCAAGATTCATTCGGGATTGCTATTTCTGTAAAGTTAGCCCTTTCATCCTTCTAGTGAAAATGAATGTTTTCAGTAAAAGCTTGAGGAAATTTTCAAATTTGTTGGGTCTATTAGCTGGTACAATGAGTTCTGAGAATATTTATTATTTCCTCTTATGTAAAAATGGGAATGATTTCCCCATTAGGAAGATCCCTCCTTTTAGCTCAAACATGCTAGCTTTTCCTTTAAGTGATCAACGTTCAAAAACTTCTCCGTGATGTCTGATCATATTTAACAGTATTAGGATCAGCTTTTTCATTTTTTTGTATATTCCCTATTTTGTATGCTCTATTGATCTATCAAAAAATGCACAATCTGTTGTCAATTCATGTAAAGTAGTCGTGCTGGTTTCAGTTCTCAGTTCTTCCAGTTTTGTCTCAGCAACAGTTGTGTGCAGCTAAATTTAATTAAGCAAACTTCCTAATGGACTGGGACTGTACTCAAATTTGCTTGACATCTAGCATCATCCTTTACTGGAGGATATATGTTCCGGAGTTTTTAAAATTCCTAGATCTTGTTTTTCATTTCAGTCATTTTAATGGATATTTAATCCTGCATACTTGTAAAGCATCTCAGTCCTTTTTCCTCTTTCCTGAACAGGGTTGCAACTTAGCTGTGCAGAGGAAGAATCAGAGGTTCTTGTTTCTTGACATGCTTATGCTGGAGTGTCCAGGTGAAGATGTCAAGCAGCATAGATTAACTTTAATGAAATTATTGTTTGCTATTTTCTTGTAATCTTACTTTGCCCATATTTTGACAGTAGTGTTTTTGTGTATACGTTTAACGAGAATTTTAGGTACCATTAAAGAGGAGATTAAAGGACCTAAGTTCAAGTGATTATAAAAAAAAAGTCCTAAATTCAAGTGATTTAGTTTTTAAAATGTTTTGGTGCTGCTTGTCCATTTTGAGAACTTGATTCTTAGAATTTGGGAACTCAGGCATCTTTATGTAATAAAAAGAAAAAAGTGGTTCTAAATTGCACTCAGAAGAGTTCATTATAACGTCACGTATACACCCACTTTTTTGTGTCTAAACAATCTGTTCTTTATGTGAATGATCTTAATCTACTGAACTGTCTATCTTTATTTGCCCCTCTTAGTTTGATGTACTCAATTCATAATTAGACAGAAATGGAGGGGAAGCAAAAGATGATGGCTTGCTTACATTGTACGGGGAAATTGAGAAAGCAGTAGAGATATATTCGTCGCTTGAAGGCAGTAGAACCATTACAATTATGATTGATGACGTCTCCCTTATGGAAGTGGCGGCTAATGGTTCATCAAATCACGTGTTGGATTTTCTGCACTACTGCTACACTTTGAAAGCAAAATATGTGAGCAACTGTATCCGCTTTTACTTCGTGTCTAATTTATACAATAATGTGAGCTACAGCTTATAAAAAAAAAAGTTGTATGGGGGACGTTCTTAATATTCTTTTCATCCAGGGCTGTTCCCTTGTTACTCTTAATCATGAGGATATCTATTCCAGTGCAAATACACTGCCATTAATCTTGCAACTGGAGTACCTCGCGGATGTGATAATCAAGGCAGAACCTTTGGCAACTGGTTTAGCAAGTGACGTGCATGGGCAGGTTAAACTTTATTTTATCCCTTTCCCTATATTCATTTTGCGGTCTTGTTCTTTCCTCTTCTTCCCTTTTGTTATCCACAGTACACTACTCTTCC